AATAAATGTTATTTAATTAATCTCTAACTATTGAACAACCTAGTAGATACTAACTAGATTTAATTCAACAATAGCATTAAATTCGAGAAAGATAGATGAAGCTAAATAATCCTTCCGAACACTAGAAGAATTTAATCTAGTTCCATATCTTATACATGATTAAATAAAAATGTATTTATAATCATTAAACCCAAGTTACTACCACAAGTAAGTTTAGACAAATAATTACATGGACTTGAATACTTAGCTAGTAATAAATTATTATGATTAAATAACTAGTATGAACTCTAACCAATTAATCACATAGCCATATTCAAATAAGATAAAAGAAAAACATAAAATACTAAAAAAGAATAAATTTAGAATTAGAACTCGTTAAGATCTCACAACGATTTTACTAAAAGCTTCAATGTTTCTTCAACCAAAATAGATTCTTAGTGACTCATAGTTGATTATAAGAGAGAGTTTCTATCTATGTTGGTTGCTAAATAAAGAGATCTAAAAAAAAACCTTAACCTCACTATTTATAGCTAAAAATAGAGTTACAACACATACATGGCCACCTAAGGTTGACACATGACTTGATAGTTTAACAAACACGGCTTGCTCTTTTGCTTCACATAGTTTGCAACCTTAACTTGCTGATGTCACATGGCTTTTTGGATAGAGGCATACGGTCATATGCCATTTGAACTCTATCTCATGTCTTTTTTAGCTTCATCTCATGTCCTTGACTTTCGCCTCGTGTGGAATAATCTCTTCATTCCATGTCACTTCTTTTTCCCGTATGCCTTTATTGCTTAATTCTTTGGATTACTTCATGCTTTGATACACATGAACATGTCTCTTCTTTGATCCATACCATTGGATTGCTACTGTATCGTGTGGTTTATTGCTAAACAAACACGCAGTTTCCTCTATTTTGCATAGCCATTTTTCCTATAAAGCCTAAAATCGTTATCTTGATCTTAATTTTTTAAATATAATACAATAAGTACTAAAAAGTTCAATGTCAAAGAGCATAAAATTCATGCAAATTATGAACTTATCACTCGGATTTTCCATAAACTTTAAACCAAAAATCTTCACTATGCATTATATTTCATATATAAGATAGAAGTTATAGGGCTTTGCCTCATATTTTGTGAGTGTATGGCATTGTAACACTCTTAGCCTCCTTTTAGGTCAAGGATGTTACACTCTTCCCCTCTCTCCCTCTCTCCCCCTCTGTCTTTTTGCATTTTTATCTCTCTTTATCTTTCCCTACCCTTTCTCTCACTCTTTGTCCCTCTCCCTCTTTTCTTCTTTCCTTCTCCCCATTTCCCTCTTCTTTTATCCCCTTCCCTCTCTCTCTCTCTCTCTTAATATCTATCTCTCTCCTTTTTATTCCGTCTCCGATCTATCCCCGTCTCTCTGTCTATTCCTCTCTTTCCTTCTTTCTCTCTCCCTCTCCCTCCTCTTCATCTCTATCTCCCTCTTTCTTTATCTTCATCTCTCTCTCATTATCTTCTCTCTCTCTCTTTCTCTCCTTTTATTTCCCTCTTGTTATCTCCTCATCTCCCTCCCTTCCGTCACTTCCTCCTTCCTCTCTCTCATATCTCTTTCTCTTCCTTCTTCCCTCTCCCTTTCTTTCATTACTCTCTCTCTCATCATCCCCTCTCTCCTCCTCCTCCTCCTCCTCCTCCTCCTCCTTCTCTCTCTCTCTCTCTCTCTCTCTCTCTGTCTCTCTCTCTATCTATCTATCTCTCGTATTCTTCTTTTCCTCTTTTCTCTCTCCATCATTCTCTCTCTCTCTTCCTCTTTCTTCTTCTCTTTAGTTCTCTCTCCCATTTTCTCTATATTTCTTTCTCTCTCTATTCTTCTTGCTTTCTTTCCCTCTCTCTCCCCTCCTCTCTCTCTTCATGTCTCACTCTCTATCTCAAACTCTCTCTTCCCTCTCTTTCTTTCTCCCTCTCTCTCTCCCCCTTCTCTATCCTCTATCCTCTATCTCTCTCTCTCTATCTCTCTTTATTTCTCTCTTCTATGCTTTCTCTCACTCTATCTCCTCCACCTCTCTCTACCTTTTTTCTCTTTCTCCCTTTCTATCTCCCTCTCCCTTTCTCTCAATGTTTAATTTTATTTTATTGTGAAATTTTTAGGTTTTGTCTATGTGTTTGTACTTAGCATTTATTTTAAATTTTGTAATTTTTTGAAGTTTATTCACTATTATTTTGTATTAATTTATTATTCTTCTATGATTTTAATTATTAATCCGAATGTGTTTCGGAATTTAATTATTAGGTCTAGTGTCCCATTTTATTTTAATCTAAATTTTTTAGAGTCGGTTCACATATCTCACTTTAGCTTATATTATAAATTGGGTAATTTTTTAGTCATGTCAAATTAGGGTAATTAGAAAAATTTAAGTTGACCTAATGAGTGTCTTATTTGAATAAGGATCGATGTTGGTCTCGACCTACAATAAAAAGGGGGGGGGAAGAAATTAGTCGTGATAAGTACCAATCGGTTTAAGCACCTTTAGCTAATTAAATCATTCCTCAACATGTCAATTATGTTAGGACATAATTGGATTTGATACTAAAGTCATGTGACTCCTAACCATGATACTTAATATGATGCCATAAAAAACAAAAATAATAATAATAATTTTGATTTGGACCATAAATAAACTTGAAAAATAATCTTGAGATATAATTTGGAAATAAATTTTTAGGAGATATTTTTAGAATTAAATTAAATCCAGTATCTTTTCTTAGAAATGATGTCTATGCGTGATTGCTATTTTTCCAAAGGCATAACCGACTCTTTAACTAGAAGCTTTGAATTTAGTATTCTTTAAAGGTTCATATTTACTTTTAATACTAGGTGGTGACTCCAGAATTTTTTTCTTAAATCCTTTTTTTCACAAAATTTTTGAAAATCTCCTAAATGTCGAGTAGGGACAACTATATTGTTAACAATGTGCTAGAATTTTGGTCGAAAAAATTCACATGTACAAATATAGTTAACGTAAATTTAGTTTGTATATTTTTTGTCTAACATTAAAAGAACATACTAATTATATGATTAAAAAAAATGAAATTTATGTTTTTTTTTCAATAAGCATTTTGTAAACTACTTGCCCACTTGATTGAAACCTTAAATAAGGCAGAAACAGAATATAGGAACCTTGAATTTCAACAAGCATCATGGATATGTAATTAGATCCAAAATATAAATTTAATATTAATTTACAAAAACTTGCCCTTCCTTCGGCTTGGCTTTATTGCTTGGCATATTATTTAGAGCCTTACAATCATAATAAGGTTTAAATCCATTAAATTAAAACAACTTTGGTTTTGTTTAAATGCTAAGAGGGACCAATTCTAGGATTTTGAGTTCTTGGAGGAAAGAGAGACATGGAAGGGCACAACAAGAAGATGACATATTGAAGGGTATAATTGCCATTTCAGAAAAAAAAAAAAAAAAAACCATTGGATGCGTATTTTTGATGTCCAGGAGTGTGGATGAGGCTATATATTATGCCATGGGTGAACAAAAGCTGACCCACAATATTACATTATTTATGAAATATATAGTCATGGGTGAACAAAAACTGACACACAATAGTGCATTATTTATGAAATATATACTAATCCAAATATTCAAGCACCAGTGACTTTTTATCTTCAATCTCTCCTTCCTACGCACAAGCCCAACTAACTTTATTCTACAACTAAAAATCAGACAACTGCAAAGAAACAAGTACTTCGGTTGGTTTGTTTGACCAAAAATAATTTTTATAACAAAATCAATTCTTATAAAAGTTATTTTTAAAAAACTATTTTCTATTATTTCACAATTACATAAAAAATTACTTAAAAATATATTTCAGTGTTTCTTTGATACGGAAAATTAAAATACAAAAACGAGTATGCAATTGTTACATCAATGAGTTTTGAGAAAACTTCAAAAATGCATATTTAAAATTTCACAACAAAGATGCATTTAGAAAAATTTAATAAATTTCCATAAATACTGACCCTAAAATTTAAATTCAAAAAATAAAATGTATATTTTTAACCATCAAACCAATTCATCAAAATTACTTGGGATAAAATCAAGTTAATATTCACATTTAGTTTAAAAAATGAAATTTCTAAATAATATTAGCATTGTTATTTTAGTAACTCAATTAAGAATTCTTTTTTTTGGGGGGGGGGGGTTGAACTGATAATTTAGTCTAAAAAATAGTTTTATAAATTATTAGTTATAATTTGTAGATAATTATTAATTTGGTTTCAAAAGTTTAATGTTGGAATAATTTGTAACTAATTACTGACTACAATTACCAATAAAATTTTACAACTAATTAAAATTATAAATTATTGATTTAGTTGCAAATGAATAGTATTGGAAAAATAATGTATTTATTAATGAATTAATTAATTTTAAATTTTTCATAAATGATTACGAGTTTTGTAATAATCATTTCCAATCATTTAAGTATAATTTAAGTAATTTTTGAGATAATAGTAAAAAAAAAATTGAAATAAATTATTGAAATATTTATTACAAAAATAATTTAAGATGTAAAAATGATTTTTAAGAATATTTAATGTATTTATAAATCAAAAAATTAAATGTTAGTAGAAATAAAAAATAAAAAAATAATTAATAATAATTGATAAGAAATAATTAAAAAATAATTTGATATATTTTAAATAAAAAAAATAAATATATATAAATATATAAAAAAGAGATAAATAATGCGAAAACAAATAAATTATTTATGAAATTTATAGTAATCCAAATATTCAAGCACCAGTGACGTCTTTATCTTCAATCTCTCTTTCCTACGCACAAGCCCAACCAACTTTATTCTACCACCAGTAATCAGACAACTGCAAAGAAACAAGTACTTAGTACCTGTATACAATAATTTAATCATCGTTCACTTGCATAAAATGCCTTCCTCCTTACCACAAAAGATAACTACTCACTCTGTTTTTTCAACAGCCATGGATATCTTCCCTATCCTTCTAGTAATTATAGTCTCTACATTTTCATCAATCCAGGCAGGTGCCCAAACCAACTCCAAGCTCTTTAGAGAGTACATTGGAGCTGAAGGGAAAGATGTTAGATTTTCCGATGTACCTATTAATTCCAAAGTCGAAGTTCACTTCATCCTCTCCTTTGCCATTGATTACACCTCATCTTCTCCTCCTTCCCCAACCAATGGTGAGTTCAAAGCATATTGGGACGAAAACAACCTTAACGCTTCGCATGTTTTATCCATCAAAGCCCTCCATTCAAATGTCAAAGTAGCTATGAGTCTTGGAGGTGATACCATAAGGGACCGGTATGTATTCTTCAAACCCAGATCAATCAACTCTTGGGTTACCAATGCTATTAGTTCGATAACGAAGATAGCAAGAGAGTATAATTTGGATGGAATTGATATAGACTTTGAGCATTTCGATGCTGATCCGAATACATTCGCTGAGTGCATTGGTCGCCTTCTTTCCTCCCTTAAGCAACAGCAGATAGTGTCATTTGTATCAATAGCACCATATGACAATGATTCTGTGCAACCATATTACTTGGCCCTATGGAGGAAGTATGGCCATCTAATAGACTATGTCAATTTTCAATTTTATGCCTATGACAAGGGGACAACTATTTCTCAATTCTTGGATCATTTTGACACTCAGAGCTCTAATTATAGGGAAGGCAAGGTCTTAGTGAGCTTCGGTACTGATGGAAGTGGGGGTTTGTCTCCTGAAAATGGGTTTTTTGTTGCTTGTAGTAGGCTTAGACTTAACAACAAACTTCATGGCATATTTATATGGTCAGCAGATGACTCCAAGAAGACAGGATTCCCTTATGAGAAGCAGGCACAAACCTTCCTGGCCAACACAAAGTGATCATGATACATATGTCCCTTCTCTCATATCGTTGTATTACAAACTAGTGACATAATAAATCAAAGGAAGAAATTGGTATATTTCTGATCTATCCCCAAGGGAATTTTTTAAAGTAGATTTATAATTATCCTCTAGAGATTTGTATATTGGTACCTATGCCATACGCCCACAGCATAACATTGAGATGTTTTCAACATAAAATTCATGGTGTCATGTATGTGAAACTGTGCTTTCATATTGATTATTGGACAATATTGGAATTTTTTATAGAATAAATGAATTTATTTGATTTTTATTTATATTTAATCATTAATACTGATTTCATAATAGCATATACTAAAACTAAAATTAAAATTAAATTAGGTTCCACTAGAACAAGGAACCACCTCAAATGGTTCCTCAATTGTTTCATGATATTCAACTTGGTCCTCGCGTATATGTAAAAAAATTTAAATAGATCTTTTAATTCAATTATATACGCTAGCTTGGAATGATCTCTCAATAATATCTAATCCGAGTTTTGAGTAAAAAATTCTTTTCTAAATCGGTCGATTAGTTCAAACATAGTTACAAATAACACCATGTAGTGTGATAGTTTTGTTTACCAATTTAATCTTAGTTTTGCATTTCTGCTATGTTTCGTAGATTATGAATGATCTTTCACTTTGTCTTAATATTTAACTTATTATTCTCAAATTGTAAAGTTGATCATATTTCTTTAACATATCTCATGAGTAGTCAATTGACTCGTCTTATATATATATATATATAAAAGAAGAGAAAAGAGAAAAGAAATCAAGGGGGAAAAAAAGAGAATTGGATCTAGATCGGGATAGGCCTAGGCTAGATACTAGGATAGGTTGTTTAGGACTAATTATTAATAAAAGAAGAAACATCATAATAGAAAAAACCTTAGACCAACCCTAGATGCGCCACTTTAAATATCCTATATACACACACAAAAGAAGGAGGAGAAAAAAAAACTAGTAGGAAAAAACCTAGCGACCAAAAAAGAACCACAACGAGCATCTAAGGAAGACTAAAATACCGTTCCCCATCCGATCATTAGATTTGGACATGAGTCGAATCGATAAAATTGCCCTACCAAGATGATTCTAGTGCCACAAGAATCACTCAATTCCAATCACCGAGGAGGCAACACTCGCCGTCCGAAGTTTCGTTGTCCATGATAAACTTCTATATAGTCTACTTCTCAAACTTTTGATTTTGGTAATTACCTAGTATTAAAGATAAATAAGAACTTTAAAAGGATACTGAATTTAGAGCTTTTGGTTAAAGAGTCGGTTATACTTTTAGAAAAATCACAATCACATAAAGACATCATTTCTAAGAAAAGATAACGGATTTTTTTAATCCTAAAAATATCTCCTAAAAATTTATTTTCCAAACTATATCTTAAGATTATTTTTCAAGTCTATTTATCTTCCAAATCAAAATTATTATTTTTTTTTGTTTTTTATGGCATTGTATTAAATAAACGTCGAGTTACGTGGTTGGGAATCACATAAATTTAGTATCATATCTAATTACGTCCTAACATAATGACATGTTGAGGAAGGAGAGTGGGAAATGGTGAGAGAGAGAGAGAGAGAGAAAGAGAGAGAGGAGAAAAAGAGGAAGAGGAAGGGAGAGAGAAAGAAAGATGGAGAAAATGGGAGAGAGAACAAGGGAGAAGAAGAAGGAGATTGAAAGAGACAAAGAGAGAGAGAAAGAGAAAGAGAGGGAGAGAAATAGAGAAAATGAGAAGGAAAAAGAGGAGAGTAAGAATGAGAGAAAGAAAGAGAGGAGGAGGAGGAAGATGAGAGAGAGGGTGAGGAGAGTGAGAGAAATTAAAGAAAGAGAGATGGAGGGAGGGAGGAAGAGAAAGAGAATAGAGATAAAGGGAGGAAGGGAAAAGAGGGGAAGAAAAGAGAGGGGAGATAACGAGAGGGAAAAAAAGGAAATATAAGGGAAAGAAAGAGAGAGAGGGAAATACAAAGAGAGATAATGAAAGGGAAAGGAAAATAGAGAAAAAAAGAGATGGAGAGAGAGATAGAGAGAAGGAAGGAGGGGGAGGGAAAGGGAGGGAGAAAGAATGAAAGAGAGAGAGAGAGATAATGAGTGACGTAGAGAAAGAGGGATAGATGAGAGAAAAAATTAAGATAAAGAGGGATAGATATTAAGAGAGAGAAAGAAAGAGAGATGGAGGGATAAAAGAAGAGAGAGAGGGAAGAAGAAGTAGAGAGTGAGAGAAAGAGAAGGTAAGGAAAGTTAAAAAGAGATAAAGAGGCGAGAAAGAGAAAGGAGGAGAAAAAAAACTAGTAGGAAAAAACCTAGCGGCCAAAAAAGAACCACAATAGCATCCAAAGAAGACCGAGCTGTCGCTCCCCGTCCGATCTTTAGATTTGGACATGCATCAAATCGATAAAATTGGCCTACCAAGATGATTCTAGTGCCACAAGAATCACTCAATTCCAATCATCGAGGAGACAACACTCTTCATTCGAAGTTTTGTTGTCCATGGTAAGCTTTCATCTAGTCTACTTCCCAAACTTTTGATTTTGGTAATTACACCCGTACTTCTTCAACTTTTTATTTAATCATCATCTAACTTTTGTTATATTGCATGATTACTTGATTGATTAATATATTTTTCTTGTCAATCATGTGATATTTTTATTTTTGTTTCTTTTCTTTTCTTTTTAATGCTATTGATTTCATTTTCTTATAGATTTTGTCTTGAACTTTATTTTGGATTTAAACTTGATTTTATTATTTTAACAATGGCATGATAGGTGGATATGAGATCAAAGTCTCTTCCTTTATTTTTAAGATTATTTTATCTTAAATTTGTAATTTTATTACATGGTTTGATAGATGAATTTGAACCTTTGGTCCATCTTCGTTTTAATTGATGTTTATATATCTTTGTATGGGCTTGAGTATTTAATTTGCAAAAGGCTTTAAGCCCCGATTTTTACCTTATAAATTGGATTCCAATGACCTAATGGCTCACTTACGTGAGAGGTTAAGCCTTTACGTCTTCAAATCATCTCACTTAGGATTGGTTTGAAAAGCCTAATAATGAACTTCTAAATCAAGATAGAAAAGTAAACACCTAATTGGACTTTACATAAAGAAAATCTTAAAATTAGATTTAAGTGGTAACTTTATTAAAAAGACACATTAGGGTGATTGATGTCTTCCCTAACTACATAATCAATCCCTTAGTTAGAACTCTTAGACCAACATGCTAGGTTTTTCTTAGTTTTCACTTTTACAAAAACTAAGTTGCGACTCTACTATTCAAACACATTTTATTTTTAACGATCGTCAAAAGGTTACTATGTGACAATAATGGTGATTTTAGTTTTATGAACATGGATCATGAAGGAAGTTCTTTTGTGTTATGAACTTGCAAAACAAGTCACTCTAGTTGGGTGAAGGACCCACCGATGCTTAAGTTAGTAGTTGAAATGTGAAAAATCGACTTGAAAAGGTTCTTTTGTGCTAATATGTACTAGTTTGTGCATAATTTAGTAGAAATGAAGTTATATAGGATGAATCTTTGGAAAGTGTTTTTAGAACCTATTTGTAGGTTTTTTTTTTTTATGGATGTTGAAAAAATGATTCCCTTACTTATGATAGCTCTTACTTTTATATAGCCAATTATAGGAGCGACGTGCATGGTATAAAAGATAGAAGTGTTCTTTCCTCTCGTAGTTAGTGACGAAACCGACGAGTTGTTGGTGTCTTGTCATCATTATATTTGATTATATGATTGCGCCAATGCAATCATGATATGTAGTGATCTAATTAATTTCATTATTGGAGATTGGTTTAATGACAAATTTTACATCTATTCTATTATGATTTGATAATTTCATACCCCTAGTACCAAATTACATTATTTGAACTCCAAACTATTGGATTTAGGAAAAATTTATCCAATTTCTCTAATTATCGTTATATATAATGGTCAACAATAATGACCATTATAGTTTTCGCATTCCATTATAAATTATGGTTTAAATAAATATATATTTTTAAAAAATATTTTTAACCCATATAATCTAGAAATTTTATAAAAAAAAAAAAAAAACTTTTTTTCTTATAAAATACTATCAAAATTTTATAAATTATATAAAATATATTTTATATAATATTTTTACCCCCCCCCCAATTTTGAACTTTTTTTTATAAAATATTATAAACATTTTATCATTTTTTTCTAATTTATAGTTTATAAAATTAGGGGGATCAACCTTAATATACTCATTTTAATTTAAAAAATATTATAATTTATATTATAAACATTTAAATGCTCATTAGATATTATAAACATTTTCTAAAAAAATCATGTAAAAAACATAATTAACAATACACAATTTCGGGCCTTAAAAAATATTTTATAAATTAAAATGAGCTTAATCAAGAGTTTGCCCCAAATTTTATAAATTATAAATTGTGAAAAATACATTTTTTTATAAAATATTATAATATTTTATAAAAAAAAATTTAAAAAAAAGGCTCAAAATTAGGGGGTCAAAAATATTTATAATTTTTTAATATAATTTATAAAATATTTATAAGGAAAATTTTTTTTAAAAAAATCAAGATTAGGGGGTTAAAATATTTTTAAATGCTTGTTTTTTTAAAAAAAATAATTAACGACGAAATGTCAAAACAACGTTGTTTTGGTATTTTAAGTAACGATCAACTAGTTGACCAGTTACATATTACGTCAATTAGAAAAAATAGATCAACTTTATCCGAAAATCAATAGTTTGGGGTCCAAATTATGTAATTTGGTACTAAGAATCATAAATTATCAAATGACAATGGAATGAGAGTAAAATTTGTCATTAAATCATTAAAGATTTTTCATTAAATGTTTTATCTCTAGGTGATAATAGAGGAATGTTGAGTCATCTTTTTTTGGCTCGAGGAATCCTAGAGTATGTAGACTCTTAAGTTTTTTCCGTAGGGGGTGACTCGTA